GAACCCCACGGTGCTTCCAAGAGTGACACGTTGTCTTTATCTCACCCCGTATTATTGGCCCGATGATTTTGGTCGCCTGGGAATGCCATCCTTCATGCGTAGAGCGTAATGGTTTAGGAACGTTGGGCTTCCAAAATCATAATTTTTAATGCCAGTGAGTTTCTTCGCTCCTCGTGAAGTCGAAGAGCCCGAAGACCAGTGCCAGGCGGGAATTGCATTCAAGTCAACGAAGGAGATTCTCCTCGCCGTCGCAAAGGAAGTGATCGCCAAAAGAAGCTTGAAGGCGAGAGATGCACAAGAACATGAGGACTCTTTAGGCTCGGTAGCTTGTCACGTCGCTAGCAAAAGGATCGTCCTCAGCTTCATCAACGATTCCGATTCCGAAGATGACACCATATGCATTTTTTGATGGCTCTCTTCCCAAGACTCACAGCGCTTCTTCGATAAGTGTTTCTTATTTTTTTTTTCGCGGAAACGGAGTGGGGTAAGACATGAACTTCTATCAGGTAGTAAAGGATAATATGGAAGGTTCAGCCTGAGGCCCTTCTGCTAAATTATTCTTGGGCTCGATTCCGTGACGTTGCAAGAGCGGAATGAAATTTACATTCAGATCTACAACTAAGTTACACGTCACATTCCAATGACATACCCTTCTCCAGATTTCCTCCGACATGACCCTCATCTCCATCAACAATCTCTACCTCTGGAGTCTGAAGAAAGTGAGTCAGTTCTCGTCATGGATCACTCTTGAAAAGTGAACATCCATTGCGGGTTTTAACAATTTTGAAAGTCGAAGCGGAAAATCGGAATCGTGACAGCGAGGTCTCGAAGACTTCATGAATTCTGGAAATATCAGGTGGATGAGAAATATATATAGGCTTCAGATAAAGATGACACGATTAGAAGAACCAGGAGGAAGACCATTATTGTCATTCATTATTCGTGTAATAAAATATAAAATGGCTGCTTCTGCAATTCTAACAGTCCTTATGAGATGGGCAATCAGATGTTTTTCAATAACTCAATTTCTCCTTATCAGATTGGTAACTCTAAGGAAGAGAGCGTCTACGTCTGTGTCTCACGGCAGCAATTGAATGAAAGGGGGGGGGGAAATACAGAACCAGATGTTTTCCAGTTATTTGAATTAAGCTGATCTTTCAATCGATGAATGATTAAGCAAACCAACCAAAAGCATGTTTTCTCTATATAATATGGACTGTCACTCACTGTATAGGCCCCATGCATAGATACAGATGTTGGTAAGATGAGAGCAATTGCAGTACCTCCAGTCACATTGGAGACGTACTTATTACGCCTGGTTCAGGAACAGAAACCTCCCAACTAATGAGGTCATGTTTGCTTGCTCATTGCAATTCATCTGTGAGTGTGACATTGCCCACTTTTTAATGAAACTACGACAACCTTCAAGGCAACAAAGGAAAATCCTCCTTTACGACAATTTGACAAATGACTTGTGGCTAATATCCACACTTGCTCCTCTAGGGATACCAAGTTTTAATCACTCATTTCGAATTGCTTTTCACGTCCTTCCCAGATTCCAAATTCCAGAATGGCGTTTCATTACTTTCCGAGGTATAACCACTTGAAGCTAGTCAAAATGGTGGCCCAGAAGCAGTAACGTCCACGAGTTCATTGATTATCATGTAATTAAGTTGACAACACACCAGCAGATAACCAAAGGACAGGGATTTTTTTTCAAGACTTGTCAGATGATACCCTGGTCATTATTCTCGAGTATGCCTAATAAATGCAGAATGCGGGACAAAGATTAAACAGAGATAACTTATCTATATAAGTACAACTTGAATGATCACAGGAGAACAGCCGAGTGGCATGACTCGCGCACCATTCTACCAATCCTTCCTCCGAGCAGCTCTTAAAATCCCTTCACTATTTAATGTAAGGAAGGAAAGAGATGAAGGATTACTATTTACGTGTCATTTCGGATGGACCAAAGCACCAAATATCTATAGTTCACTTCTTTCAAGGATTGATCCTCACTTAAGTGAAGAAGAGAATGTAATGTGACTTGAATGAATGTAATGTAACTTAAAATGTAATCTACTTGCTCAGATAGTGCTGCCAGTAAGTCATGTTGAATTTGAAATTTTATTCTGTCAAGATAAAACATTATACTGACCAGCATTGTAAAAGCTGATCAACTCGGGATCAATTTTGAAAACAAGGATTTCTGCTGTTGTTTTTTTTTTCCTGAGACATGGAAAGAGCATCTGTGATGGAAGTAAAGGATCTCGAAGAGCCTAATTACCCAAGCAAGACTTCAAAGACGTCTGAAAGACTAAGGGTGGATTTTTTTTAAACAAAGAACTATCCGATAATGCCGCTTTATTCCAGAGAAAATGCATATTTCCTGGAAATAAAGCAGCATTATCGGATAATTCTGTTCAAAAATCCACCCCAAATCCTGACAGCACATGAAATCTTCTCCCAAATAACTCAATTATGATAATCGAGGTTTCATTTCCAAGAGAAAATTATCAGGAAGAGCAGGAACTGAGATTCCATTATTGGTACAGCTTAAGAACATGCAGTTTTCACACTTTCGCCCCAATCAACATTCTGCTGACCACGAAGCGGTAATTACAAAATGACTCGGCTATAGAGGCGAAGAACAGCAGAAGAGACGCAACCAATGAACTCCACCTGGAAGACATGGTGATCAGCCAGTCTACGGCTGAAGTTTACAGGGGATCATGGTGACGCTTTATGAGACGTGCTCTGACTTTGACTACAAGGTATACAAAGCAACCTTGGTCTCATAGCGGTCAGCCAAAGAGTACAGACAGGCAAAGACAGGCTGACGATTTGTTGTACAGCCAATCATACTTCGGTACGTCCTGCTGACCCTCTTCCAAACATCCTCTGGATTGGGCAAAATTTCCCTGGGGACAGTGGGTGTTAAAAAAAAAATCCTTTACCTGAAGGCCCATGGTAATAACCATAAGCTACACATTTGGATGCTTGATACCTATGAATAGCTTCTTTTTTTTTAAATGCCCATTCAGGTCCATATACGTATTTGGTGTTACCACCAACCACTGGTATCTCTCATGGTGTATTATCGTACAAGAGTTCGATCGGAGCAAGTTTTCAAATAAGTCTGTGGCATTCTTCTAGCCTGTGAAGTACTACACTTGAGAGCTCAATTATTTTTATTTGGAGAATTCGTGTGCTCCTTTTTCTGACAGCGTTAAAAGCTTTCAGGATGGCTCCGAAGTGTTCTGAGCCGTTGGAAGTAGGCGATGCGCTGCGTTATTCGGTGCTTCAGAAAAAGAAGATTCCACCAGTTCTGAGGAGTTCTTGAGCACGGGAACGAGGGTGTTTTCGTGGAGAAAGCACACCTCTGCGGGATCTATCACGTTCCTGAGATTCGAAAGGAAGTTCAACTCATTCTCCTTTCCATAATTTACCTGCTTCAAATTTTCCTAATACAATCCTCTAGGAGACTTTTATTGGATCCCAGGAACGCGATTCACCATTACTTCCGTGCCAACGCCACTCAAGTATCAATCAAAAATCCATCCACTCTGGTGCAATCCACCTCATCGGAAGCAATGAATGGCCTAGTGCATCGTCCGATCTAAACACCGCAGAACACCTTGAAGACATCTTGAAAGGCGAACTTGGAAAGAATATGCTTTCAGCAAGAGAAGAAAACCAATTGTTCGAATGCAATTTTCATTGAACACGAGTATAATGCTTCACAGGCTGGAAGACGTCAGACTCGTTGGAGATCTCTGATACCCTCATCCTCCAATCCTAACCTGCGTCCCACTTTCTGATGGTGCCTTCTGTTGAAATGAAGGAAAACGGCAGAGAAAAATTGGTTGACTAAGATTTCACGATAATAGATCCTTAGCGTCAAATAACCATTGACCACTTCGCATGGTCAAATTGGTTCACACGTGGAGAATTTGAAATTTTCCTCTACTTCACCCTCTTCATGATTTGACCAAAAGCATAGGCAAAACGATGAATTTAAAGCACGTCTTCACGAACTAAGTGAATTTTAGCAAAATTATTTTCGTGTGCAGTAAGAAGTCTGCGTGTTCATGGTTTCAATAAAAATCCATAAGTCCTAATGTAACACGTAATAGTGGAAAGAGGGCAATCTCACAAGTAAAATAACGTCCGAATGAAGCTTCTACTTGCTCTCAACCTCCCATTCGGGTCCGAATGAACTTTACGAGTCAGAAATCTGTCATTCATATTTGTATATTTTGAGAATGGAGTGTCATGTGAAAAAGGTCGAATTTGTTTAAATCGATTCCTCGGAATCTCTGGCGATTTTCATCGAAATTGGAGATGGTCAAGCTCACCTTTTGGGCTGTTTTGGGGTGGAATGTGCCAAAGCAAAATTTTATCGTTTGACAAACAACAATTGGAAGGGGTGAAATTAAAGTGCAAAATCTGCAAAAACGTCCGAGAAAAGTATTGTTTGTTTAATGCTCATAGATCTGTTTTCCTTATTAAAAAAAAGGGTAGTTTTTCGGATTTATGTTATACAATATGAACTGGTCTATCTAAGCATCCTCACTTTTTAGAAAACGGTCACGAGAATATTCACTTTTTTCCTGTGGAGGTCAAGGAAATAATGTTTTTCAGATAGACAAATTTTCCTTTCAGCTCTTCAAATGTATGAATGAGGAATTAATATCTGTCCAGAGTTGACTCCAAATCAATATAAAAATCTCTGCTCCTGTTTAGATTCATTGTAAATGTTTCCACCGTTCTGTGAACTATGAAACTGCATGATCACAAGAAAATTCCGTTCTGAGAATGTACAGCATCTGCAATGCATGAATACGACAGCAGTACGATTCCCAATTCCGAAGGCTATAAGAAAAACAAGTGCCATTAAGGTCGCCAATATACGGTTAATGACACAATAAATATAATATATAATTACCAAATGAAGTTCAAACGGATGTTCCATAACTTTGCCATTGTGAAACCTCGTGAAAAATCGTGCTAGTTCATAGATCATTTCGGCCCAGAAGTCAGTGATATCGAATATCATTTCTAGATTTATTAATTTATTGATTCATGAGGCACAACACAGTACTGTTTAGTGTCCGGCAGAAACTTCACATCTCCTGATATTGGAACCTCATAAAAGAGCACATGCTGCTCAACGATCACTAATTGTCGAGATCAGCGTTATATGGTGAGAATCCAATGACAAGGTCGGAGATAAGGGAATGCAATAGATAATCATAAAATGCCTGGAAAAATGGCATTCTTCTTGGAAGTGATAACTTCCTTGAATCTTTCCCTGTACCACTCGTGAGCCAGCAATGCACTCGTGACCTGCAATGGATCATAGATGACATTCTTACGAGAACTGATGGGAAATCAATCAAAGTCAATGAGTTGAGGTCATACCCGTAAGGGGTCCCCTAAGAGAGGCATGGAATGGCTTAGGAGTTTCACCTGATTGGAAGTAACCCAGAAGGTGACAGCTATCCATCCAGTGTGATTGAGCCCAAGTAACACTTGAATTGCCAAGTAGATGAGAATCTCAAAGAGGAAATGTGGAGATGTGACGTGGTCGAACCAAGAACCTCGAGGCAGCTTGTGCTGAGTCTCCACCTTGCCTTAAAAATTTTTTTTATCAAGAGACTTAAATGGCACTTATTTATATATATCTTTGTGAAGTACCTCCATGTACTCGTCGTAGTGAGGCAAGAATTTGTAGGCACTTGTGCTGTTGGAACCAAGCCCAAGAGAATATGACGATACCAAAAGCATCGGATAACTTCCAGGTCATGTCCACCTTTCCCTGTGTACACGATGAATCATCTAAAATTTTAAAAAGATCCAGCTTTTCCGTAACTCTGTTCTTACAACCCGAAGTCAAGGGCAAAATTTAAGAGTAAAAACACACCGCACCCAAGGAACAGAAGCCTGGAATTCTGCTAACTAATATGATGGATGCTCCAAGGTAATGGAACATTCCAGCTGCATATTGATGCAAAGCGATTTTCCCATCGGAGTAGATGCTGACCCAGATGGACTCGTACAACCTCCGCATCACCTGCAGTCCATACAGGCAGAATCCGATAACGTAGCCTCCAGAATCTGGAATCAGACAGACGTCGAAGATGCATGCCATTCAACTCGTACCAGTAGCCTAAATAATTGAGAAAACAGAAAACCCACTTGATCTATAATCATTACAAGTGCCAAAGATCGCTTTGATGAAACTACAACACGAAACAGGGATTTGATATCCAGAGAGAACGAGCAGAAGCATGGTTCCTTCTGAGATGACAGCTACGCAACCCACGATGTAAAAATGCGAGAACCACCTGAAAAATTGGGAACGATAGTTTCCCCAATTGAGATATCCGTAATCCAAAGCTGGCAGCAGACCTGGTTCACTTCTGGCAAATCTTAGATGGCAGTACACAAACTGATCAATTTAAAAAGTTTTATAATTCATGCGAAAAAAGAACGCAGGAAAAAGAAACGGAATGTATCGGCCGAAATTGCACATTCAGGTAAATAGTTAAGGTATTTTGAAGCCCCCTTTCAAACTGCACGCCCCGCAATCATGGTCTTAGGGCACATAATTACTATCCCAATCATGGACCCACACTTTCTCACCTCTTCGGCACGAAAAGTAGAGAAAGATTCCCATGACTTCTGGGCGATGTTTTGCCATATTTGAATGCTAACTCCGCCAAGGGGGATTCTCTTGCACTTGGGAACAAGGTAGGAATAAGACTGAGTATCCCCATCGATAGAAACACAAGGACAAGCGCATCTAGCAGGATCATTTTCAAAACTTTTCAGCATCACAAGAGGCTCAGGAGAGACTTCCTTTACTTCCAGCAATCGTGAGTCTCACATTTGCACTCCATATTATGGGAATGGGCAATTAGTTTATCTGAAACAAAGAATAGAGCTTCGTTAACGGAAGAGCTTCCTTCCACCGAGCTAGGGGAGAAAATGGCATTTTACGCTTCAACAACTCCTTCATGTTGGGCTTAGCCTTCCTGAATTTTGCGGTTTAGGCACAGGAAGGCGACTGAGTATTTAAGAGTAAATCTCTGGTATTTCCGTTCTCCACAGAACGCATGCAGCATCGCAAAACCCTTCGTGCTTGTTTATCTTTATTTTTGAGATCTCGGGAGGAGACACTTGGCAAGGATGCGGGTTTGAAGGGGAGTTCCACGGCCCAGCACAGTACTTAACAGGAGCTATTCATCAATGGAAGTCGCATTCCTCAGCGACAACCCTGAAGAAGGAAAAGGGTCACGGACGGTCCTAGCAACTTCATCACCTGTGAAAGAACACGGGGGGAAAAAATGACAGGACACGGAGTTTAAAGAAACCTCGTCACCCAAGAAGTCCTGTTGAAATTTTCGAGCCTGTCTATCCTGAAAGAACTCAGAATGGGCCTCGGAAAAAGTTGTGTGCTGCACATCATCCAATGGTGTGGTGATTAAGGCCGTTATACGGAGAAAAAGGAAGAGGTGATGGTAGAAATGAATGGGAAGGAGCAAGGTCGCCTACCCCCCTCGGACAGCTCCGACAACCTGGAGCCGTTTTCCAAGGTGGAGTCTCATCTCATTTACATACGGCCTTTATTTATCCCCCGTCCTCGGTCAATACGCACGGATCTCTCAAACAACACCGTCCTCCCCACTCCCAAAATGAAAGGAAAACTTTCCTCCAGTCATTTCGAGGAATAATATGGGAGGAAGAACATCCTACGATCCCTCCATAATAACTCGGAGTGCGTGGGCTACTATGACAGAGCCATGCGATGCAATGCAATTACCTAGGTGGGACATGGGTCGTCGTTGGATCCCCGCAACGGACTTCCACGAATCCTCCACGCCCAAGTTCGTCCAAAAAGAAAGGATTGGGCCGTGTTTTCTCGACAGATTTAGCAAGGAAGTTGTTTGTTATTGGAAGCTCCCGCGAGGTTAGTGTCGGTTTATATAGCTTCACCTACTTCGTTCTTCCGTTCTGTCTTGGTCTCTCGGGAGAACCAAGGGAAGGGGAGGGGAAATGGCTCATTTGGAAGCGGAAATCTGGACTTGGGCTAGAATCTGTCGCACTTGAGCGCCCAGCGTGGGACTTGAACATCCGTCCCACGGTTAGTCCTCCTCCCTCTTCTTTATTCCTCATTGATTCCTCACTTCCCTTTCCTTCCCTGCCTTCGGTCGACACGAGTCAAACTATAGTCTAGGTGGACTCCACTCGACTGGGCAACCATGCGTGATGAGGCTCTCATTTTCTGCTCCGTCTTTATATCTCTTGCTATTATAAAACAACGGAGTGTGACGACTGTGGGAATCTTTCATAAGGATCATTCTCACACACCACGTATAATAATGAAAAGTCGAGGTGTGGAGCCAGAAAGGAAAAGAGAGAGAGAGGAGTGAATAGGACGAGTGAAGGACCAGGGTCTTGGTGGGGAGTTGAAATCGGAGAAGAAACCACGTGCAAGTGTGAGGAGAAGCCCAACAAAGATTCAGGGAAATACGAGACGAAACGCACGACTCGACTCCGCTGGGCCCAAGTGGTCGAGTTCAGTTGGCAAATGTGAAGGAGAGGGCAAAGTGAAAGAAAAGCGACCGGAATGACACGTTCCAGGTGTGCTGAAATGGATTCCGCCTCCCACTATTTCCCCTTCCTTCCCGCCTAATAGTGTTTTTGCGAATCATGATCGATGGGGTTGGTCAGGTGAATAATAGAAAAATCTGGGGGAAAACAGGGTCTCCGGATTTAAAAATAATAATTGGGGCTGTGCGGCCACGCGCAGGAGAAGAGAAGCGGCAGCTGTCGTTGCTTTTTCAACGCGAAATGAAGAAAACACATTTTGCGGGTAGCATGGGAAAATTCATCGCAGCACACCTGCTTCCTTCCTCAAAAGAGAACTCGGAGATTCTTCCTCTGACCTTGGGACATCGGCACCTGTTATACGCCAGAGCCATTCACAAACACCTTCCCATTTTATTCCTTCCTTCCGTCATTCATTCATGGCGTGAGGCACGCGGTCGATGGAAATCGCACGTGACTTCGTGAATGCGCACATTGACAACGCAACGGCAGCATTTCCGTGAATGGGAAACGGCTTCTTAAAACAACAGGATGCGTGAAAAGGGACTTCTTTTTCCTGTTATGAGAAGTGAAAAAGGCAGAAAGTGGAGGAAATGAACAAGTGGGTGAAAAGCAGGGGGAGGAGAGGCAACATGTTTCTAATCCTGTATCGTATTTTCCGCAGCCAGTCAGTCAGTCTCTTGTAGTCAGAGAAGTGGGAGGGAAGAAGGAGCATGTGGCATGGGAGAGGAAGTTCCCACGCCCAAAAACCTACTCGTGTCCCCCAACGGAGCGCCAGATGGAGTTAACAGACAAATGTTCCAAGCGAACTTCCTGCTCCTTCCTTCCTTCCCCTGGTCCCCTTGGCCCTGGGCCAGCCTCAGATTTTTCGCCTTCATGCCCTTCTACTTCCCCTTCAACCCCCCCCCCCCTCTCTCTCTCTTTACTCCCCCCGGCGATAACGAGGCGGACGAGTGTCAGGTGTGTCCCCCCCGCCCATCTCATCTCAAGATTCCTCAGGAAATGATAATTACGACATTTTCCCCATTTACTGCACGAGGAGGAATCAACTTATGGGGAGAGAGGCTCAAGCCCAGATGATACAACGAACGAGATACACCGATAAAAAAAAAGGAGCTAGCCCAAGTGCTTCCGTGCTTCGCACTAGACACTTAGAGACGAGTTGGCGAGAGAGAACCCGACGGAGGAAAATTCACGCGCATCACCACACACCACATGCCAGGATGATCAACATGGCACACCTCGAGAGTTCTCATTGCTGGAGACTCGCATTCAAGGACGGTAAACCACTCATTTGGGCGGTTAATCCGTATCTAACCGCGTTCTCACTATAGGACCATTCGCGTTAAATAAGGTAACTTTCACGCGCGTAACACGCGCGGAATATGAACGGGACCTTCGTGTGGCTAGTGAAAGCGCTTTTAACATCCAAGACCACAACACCTTGCAAGTGGTCCGTAATACCTCCTGGCCTCAAGGTCAAGGACATGGGCAAATAATTTTAATAGTGGCGAACGACGACCTCGAGTTCTGAAAATTGTGTCATCGACAAGAATCATCCCGGCAACACGTTGCACGTTAGCTTCAGTTTATCTGAGGATAGAGCCAAAGTCAGACAACCTCTCGCCATTGATAAGGACCAATTCAAAATACATTTGGATATGAGGCGATAAGGAGGGAGATAGCGAGGGAAAATGCGTAGGCCAGCATGGGCAATAAGAATATCGCCTGATTCAATTGGCGTATGTTTGCACAGCGCGAGAGGAGAGAGACGTACACACTGAGACATGGTCCCTTCGGTCTAGTCAAAACAACTCCTCCGTTCTTTGCACTTTCCCCATGACTTTAGTCAGACATCTGGGGAAAAGCCGCGTGCCTCTTGCACACTACACGTTCCGCGGTATCCTCAACGCTCATATTGCAGGACTGGCGTTAAAAGGAGGTGGTGTCCCAATGAGCAGGGTTTAGATGAGGGAGTAAACGTTGGGAGCCTAAAAGCCCGCGAAATTGATCCAAGGCTCCGTTTCCGGTCGCCCCTCTCCGCGGCCCCCCCCCCCCCAAAAAAAAAATACAGTCCAGTGACGAATGGATGGGCAAGGAGGAAAGGGATACAGTTTCCTTGTCATTTTTATTTTTGCCTCTTGGCCCTTGGGGGGGTCCTGTCTTATGGGCCTCTAACCTGGTCCTCTACACCTTTCCCTCCCTTCTTCCTCCATCTCGGGATCGGTTAGGGGAGAAAAGAAAAATCTTTTCACTCCGAGTCGGGTTCGATAAGGAGACCGCCACAGAAAAGATGTCACACGGACACGTAAATGTGAGTAAAACGGGAATGTGGGTTAATGATGCGAGAATACATTTTATGATATGGACATGTTCGCTAACGCCCACATCATAGGTGCGGGACTTTCTCTGCTCCAATTAAAACTATGGTTGGAGATTCCATGGAGGCTAATTAGCGCCTAATAGGGGATTGGAATCAACACTTTCTTTCGGTCTTCCTCCTGTCCTCGATACAAACGCCCACCGCAATCTGCCCCACACACACGAGGATGAGGGGAAGAAACTGAAGCGGGTGAGGGCCCTGTTTCTCTAGATATAATCTCGAAAGAACCTGAAGAGAGGAAGTGAGAGCACGTGATGGGCGGATCCGTGCATTTCCCATCTTCGGGTCACCCTCCCTCACAGACCAACCTAAAGGTAAGTTCACATCAACCGCATTGCACAGCAAAAGCATGTCTATGTGAAGACTTGACCAGGATTCCACATGCGCACAAAAGTTTGTGCTCAGCTACGTCGTCATTATGTTGCGTTATGCGGTTGGTATGAACTTATCTTTAGGGGTTCAAAATATATACGTCCCTTATCCTTCCTGGACAATCGCCTGATGCCGTCTCTCAGTTCCATTTGATTTCCTTCCATGACCTCTTTGGAAAGGGGAGGGAAGATAGAAGGGGGAAAAATATAAATAAAAAAAAATAGGGAAGGGAAGAAGCAGGAGGCGAGGGAGAATGCCAAGGACTACTCTAAATATAGACCCCAATGGTGACATCGCAGCCAGGCAGAGGGATTTTCCGGAAACTTTTAAGAGAAATAAGACGAAGCTGGTGCTACTACTGATTCATGAATCCATACATTCAAATGACACAGGCAGGATGAGTAGGGCCTCGTTTTTCCTTATTATCCCCTTCGAAAGCCTTAACCGAGCTGGGATGATGAGGGTCCCTTCCTCCCCGTAATATGGCACCATGTCGCCACGATAACATTCCTTTTAAGGGACGGGACAAGTCGAAAGATCAAGGTAAAAGTATGACAACTCAGATT